TGATTTGATAAGTATTCTGAATCAAATCAACATCTTAACTAAAATGATGCAGAATCCTAATATCAACATCACAGTATATATCAATTTACTTAAAGATGTCATAGGTTACTTTACCAAATATCGTTCAGATGAAAGTTTTGCTAAAATTATACCTGAAGCAGACAAACTTGCCTATGATATTAATGTTGAACCATTTTTTCCGCCAATCCAAACCGTGTGTCCAAGAAGAAAACCGAAACATTTTGATCATGAGCAGAATTACGAAGTTGTAGATCCAAAAATTAATTTTAAAATATTTTTTTTTTACCGAATTCTGAACCAAACTTTGTCTTCTTTAAATAATAGATTTGAGGAACTAAACACATATACGTTAGAAGATCCTCACCAAATTTTACGTATTGGTGTGAAAACAATTTAATCTCAACTTTTCCGATACATCAATAGCATTAAGAACTTTGCTTACACCACCAGTTTCGGTTGCATCTGGCCAGCGATCCTTTTCAAAATTGAAAATAATAAAAAATTATCTCAGATCAACCATGAGTCAAGGCAGGCTAAGTAACTTATCTATTGTTGCAATTGAACATGAACTGTTAGACAATTTGGACATAAAAAAATAGCTGCAGAATTTCCCAGTATGAAAACTAGAAACATTCATTCGATTTAGTAAAATATATTTAATTATATTATTTGCATGCTTTAGGTTTTTTCGTTTCTTTTTTTTTGTATTCAGTCATATTATATGGATACATATGTATTTATGTTTTTTATTAACAAAATAGATTTGTGTTCGATAAAGGTATTTGTTTGTTTATTGTATACAAAATAAATTTTAATTTTAACGTTTTAAAGACTGGCCCTTAATTTTCCACTGATTTTAATACAATTTTTACTTAAAAAAATCTTGTCTATATTGAAGAGGGGCGCTAAATTCAAACTTGCACTCGGGCGCCAAAAGTTCTAGCGGCGGCCCTGGTCGTGGTTTCCGGAGTTGCATTTTAAAAATACGGGATATATCGCTTTAAAAAAATTATATTTCGAATTAACAAACTTGAGTCCAGGGGACCTCCATATTTATATTCATATCTAGTCCGCAGTTTTTACAAAAAAAAATTATGAAGTTGACCAATTTTTACACCAGATTTAACCGGTACATTGATGCATTTTTTGAAGAAGTGCTGAAGTGATTTGCATTCTGAGATAGGAGGTCCCCTGGGGAAAAGTGTCAGCTTTCTTTTGATACCATTTATAATCCTAAAAAATTCACGACTGAGGTAAATAACTCTCGAAAAGACAGAATCTGTTGAAACGAGAAATCGCCATTAAACGCGCTATGATGCCGTAGCAGAATACAGGTTTACTTAGATTCTGGTTTGGTTGCAAACTTAATTTAATGTGGACCTTGTCCACCAGGGGGAGCTGTTTTTACTCAGCGATTTATCGGAATAAAATTTTGATATCGCATTTCCGATTTTACAATACCATTTCGGTTTTTAGAAGTGACAAAATAACGTATCCATCCAGTGGCGTAACAATCAAACTGCGGGCCTGTGTTCTACAACACTGTGGGACCCCTAATGAACAGCGAAATAAAAATATTTAACAATACGAGTATAATGAGTAAAGAATGAGTAGATTGCAATTAGCGCTAACGTTTTATTAAAATCATTCTACCTGAAACATTGAATTAAAAAAATAAAATACAATAATTACCTGAAGAAATATAATTAAAATATATACAATATTAGAAACTAGCCGACCCGCCAAACGTTGTTTTGGCATTTCTAGTGAATATTTTGGTACACAGTTAAATAAAAAATTAAATTAAAATAAATACATAAAAATTTATCGTACGACAATGATTATATTCAATGGTCATCTTGCAACCCTATTGCGCATCTGTGGATGAAAGCAAAGATACTCATATCGTTATTAAAAAATGGGGGTTGGTGGTAGAAGGGTCAAAATTTAGGGTTATATGTATTTTTTGATGGCAAATCTTAAAAAAATAAAAATAAAAAATGTCTAAAAAATAAAAAAAGTTTGGTGGGTCACCCTTATCACTTAGGGGTTTAAAAAATAGTTTACTAGACCTACCGAATATACACAAAAAAATTCATAAAAATCGGTCAAGGCGTTTCGGAGGAGATTGGTTACAAACACTGTGACACCAGAATTTTATATTAGATTATTTTAGAAAAAAATTCTTTACCATAAAAAAGGTTATACTGAGTCGACCTTAAAAGATTGACGTATGCTGTCGCGGACTTTTTTTTAGAACTTTTAGAAGGGAACAATTCCATCATAGATGATTTTTATGTAACTTTAACCGTTTTATACGCAGCGTAAGCAACGGAAGCTGTCAAAGGACGAATAATTTTCCCGTTTTTCCGATATTTTTTCATTCTATAATAATTTCCCAGTCCAGTTTTTTTTCTACTTAAAAAATTAGTTGTAACATACGTCAGATATATTTTATTATTCCAAAAAAGCACCACAAGTACAAAATTAAAATAGTTTTGAAAATACGAAAATTTTCATAAAACACAACTGAAACTGATTTTTTTTTTCACGTTTTATTACAGCATGAAGTTTCACTGTAGAACTGAGGACAAAATTTAAGTATTTTGTTGTCTTGCATCATAAATTAGTCATACTTTTGTCGGATAAAGATTGGTAATTTACTACATGGGGTGTTAGATTTGCTACAATGGGATTGCGACACTGCGACAGGTTTATTACAAACAGATGCTGCTGCATTTTCGACCGCCGGTGCCTGTCGCTAAAACCCGAGTTTATTGAGTCTATGATATTGAATCTTTAGTTGATTGTTTATTTTTTTCAACATTTTCTACAATTTCAGAAATTATGGATTCAATAAACTTATGTGTTTTTTTACTGTTTGTACAATTTTTTGTACTAATTGCACGTTTTGTTTTTTTTTTGCGTAGATAAAATTTGTCACGAGCCATTATTATAAAATAAGGTGTAACAACAAAAATATAGTGCAAATAATTTGTAAGTGGACGACCGAAACTATGTTTTAGGCAGACACTGACAAAGTGGTAGTAACATTGGCAACTGTTCCAAAACTGAGTTTTGCCGAAAAAAGGTACTTTACGTGCATTTCAAACAATTACATTCATAGGACTCTACCATTTCTACCAGCCAGATGTAAACAACCACCTACAATAAATTTAACAACTTTTGTTTGTCACCGGAAGTGGGACTGGTATTGCGGACTGAAATTATCCCTTGTACACGCTTTCGACTCCATTTGAGTAACAATTTTTTTCCGAATTTAAAATTACGTTCAAGCTGTTGTTCAAGCCTAAAATTTAAAATTAAATCTTTCCGAAACAGTATGACAAATATGTAGTGAACAAAAAATATTTACACCTTATACAAAAAAATGAGGTTTACGATGCGCAAGCATATGATATACGTAAAATTAAAAGTGCAAGTCAAAGTTAATATGCATAAAAAATAGCAGCTGCTTCTATTAAAAATTTAAAATTAATTATTTAAATCCTTACAAAACGATATACTAACAAACAGTTTAAGCAAAGTCAAATTTTTAAATAAACTGCCTTCTGCCATGCAGTTAGCCGCCAAAATAATTAACATGAATATTTTAGTACTTACATAAAAAACCACCGTTGAATGCTTAGAATTACTTGCACACAACGTACTAATAATTTACGTTGAAGAAAGTAAAAAATTTTGCTATGTGGCTAATAGCTTCAAGGACACGTTATCATTCATTTTCAAACGATTGCGGCTAATAATTTTAACAATTTATTGTTATTTACTTGGTAAATATATTTTTATTTTTATTACTATTGTTTTGTTGCAAACGATAAAGTAAATAACAAAACCAAACTCTTATACATTATTAAGTTTAAGAAAAATTTTCCGCCAAAAATATTCTATTTGTAATGAATGGGCATGTCCGACAGTGCAGATAGTAGGAAAATAATAAAAATATTTACTTATACCGGAAATATTGTTAATTCTCTTATTTCAAGTTTGGCCTACAAATGTGGAAAATCCCTCCCGTTCGTAAATAGTACCTTGGCGCGACCAATTTTTGCTTTACATGATGTGCCTGTAATTCAGACAAACAACACATCCTTGATAGGAATAAATCACATATCTACAGATAATTCCCCGACAGTAGGAGGTACTTTAATATTTACATATATTTAATATATTTACCGAAAACAATTTAAGTACGGAAACAAAATAAATAACTGGAAAGAATTAACTGTAGCCAAAATAGGAAAATGGATCAGTGAGTTTTACATCTTTCCGGTTTTGAACGGTCAAGGGTAAATTCAGGTACCCGGGTTTTGTTTGCAACTATTATGGCTAGACAGGCACTGCGGCTTGTGTACTAAAACTTATTTCCGTACAGTAAAATGTAGAATTCTACGGATCGGTGCTGCATTTATTCACATTTTAGCAATTCACTAACAGGAGGCAGCATCTCCCGGGTCGTTTTATTCTCACTTTGACCAGGCAGATATTTTGCCTCCAGACGGCACCCTTAAATACCACAACCAATCTGTTTTATGTTTGCATAACTATTATATCATTGAATCAACCAAATTCTCATTCCTTCAGTCACATTATCAATCCATCAATCTTACCCTTACACGATCAGCCAGATTGTTAATCCTTCATGAGATTGTAATTGTGACTGACCCTATAAACCAATAATGAAAATAGTACGAATCAAAAATTAATAAGCTGTTTTTTGAACTGACGCCACTTCTGTCGCATCAAAAACATTTAAATAAATACACAGTCTTAAAAGTAAAAAAAATGTTCACATCATTGTACACACCATTGATTAAAAATAAAAATATATATTTAATCAATGTATACACTATATCTTATCAGTGAGGTTTGATATTATATATTTATGTATAAATACGTGCAAATCATTGTTTTTACACGAAAAGTAGTTATCCAAATATTATTTTCAAGATATAATAATCCTTTAATTTAGTCCCCAAAACCAGTGTATCGTGAACTTCTGTGCCGTGACGAACTTATCATGGGCCTTGTCATCCAAGATAGTTTGTTGGAAATATTTCTTCTGGCAGTAGCCCTAGTTATACTAACTGCACTTCATTTCCACAATGCGTACAAATATTGGACAAAGAAAGGTGTCCCTACCATTAAACCCAAGTTTCCGCTAGGTAACACCAACACTTTTTTACCACAAGGCTTTTCGATTGGTCCCATTACTAAAACATTCTACGACGAACTGAAACGTGAAGGCCACAAATTCGGTGGTGTTTATCTAGTGACGGTTCCCAATTTGGTAGTCGTTGATCCCGACTACGTTAGAGATATCCTTAGCAAGGATTTCCAATACTTTGCAGATCGAGGATTTTACCATAACAAAAAAGGTGATCCCCTCATTGCCAATCTCTTCGTTATTGATAGCGCGGATTGGAGGGGCCTTCGTGTTAAACTCACCCCAACCTTCACTTCAGGGAAAATGAAAACGATGTTCCACTCCGTGGTTGAATGTGCCAACTACATGAAAGAAGCAATTGTGAAGAGTATAGGGCAAGATGTAGATATGAAAGAAATAGTAGGTCGATATACTACTGACGTTATCGGTACTTGTGCTTTTGGCATTGAATGTAATAGTTTCAAACACCCAGATGCAGAATTTCGAGCCATGGGTCGAGCACTCTTTACGTTCAACATCTTCCGTGCTTTAAAAGCCTTCCTTGCCATTAGTTTTCCAAAACTGGCGTTACAGATGGGCTTAAAAGTCAGCAACGAGAAAGTGGGAAATTTCTTCAGAAAGGTGGTGAAGGATAGCGTTAAATTGCGCCAAGAGGAGAACATCCAACGTAATGACTTTTTGCAACTTTTAATAAATTTGCAAGAATCGGCAAATTTTACCCTTGACCAAATGACGGCACAAGTAATTTCTTTCTTTATTGCTGGTTTTGAAACTAGCGCCACCACAATGAATTTTGGGTTGTACGAGCTTGCACGGAATCCCGATATCCAGAAGAAGTTAAGAGAAGAAATTTGTCAGGTTTTGGACAAGCACGACAACAAATTAACGTACGAGAGTCTGAACGAAATGAAATACCTAGGGCAAGTTCTTGATGGTGAGTATTGACGTTTTTGCGAAAAAGTAGCAAATAATGTGTTCTTTACAGAAACGCTAAGGATGTATCCATCTCTTCCAACCCTAAATCGTCGTTGTACTAAAGACTATACCCTTCGAGATACGAATATAGTTATTGAGAAAGGTACTCGCGTTCTTATACCGGCTTTGGGTTTACAAATGGATCCAGAATTCTATCCCAACCCGGAAAAGTTTGATCCAGATAGGTTTACCGAAGAAAATAAGAAGATGAGACATCCGTTTGTGCATTTGCCGTTTGGTGATGGTCCTAGAAATTGCATAGGTTGGTTTGGTTTTTACAGAAAACGATACATTTATCACTGCATTTTTGTTTTTCCAGGTTTACGATTTGGACAAATGCAGTCCAAGATTGGTATAGCTACTATTGTTAAAAATTTCCAGTTGTCGGTTAGTGCTTCGGCTAAACCGTTAGAATTTAATTTTAGTTCGTTTCTGCTACAGCCTAAAAAAACAATTTATCTTAAAATACAAAAAGTATAATTCTGCTCTGCGGATGTCATCAGACTGCAATAACATTTAGTGTCTTCGTTTTTTTTTATATCTGACTTTGGGTTACATTTATTAAGTTTCACTAATATAAGATCCAGCATAACTTTTTGTATTTCTGTTGAATATAATTTTGGTGGGCAGTGTGTTTGCTCTATTAGTTTGGTTTGTTTTCTTTCTGTATCACCCTGGTATTATCGAAGATTACATAATTGGTCCTTAATTTTTTTAAAGGCAACTTAACATGACAGAGGTACCGACAATTTTTGGAAATGTTATTAGAAAATGTTCATCTCGCAGATACAAGGTCTGGAGATTGAAGCCGGCGGGTGGTAGCTCTTTTTTACTCAAATCAAGAACGATTCACTCCATTGTCTCGAAAATTTAACAATACAGTAAATTTGATCTTCTTTTAACGCAGATGCTTGGTATCGGAACGTGCTAATAGTCGAATTCTTTCGAAGACTGGTGGACCCTAGTCGTCCACTGGATGACTAAAGAAAGATAAGATTTCAGAAAAGAGGTAAGTTTTATGGACATTCTTTACAAACTGAAAATGTAAGATGACCAAGAGATTATACACTGACCGGCAAAAAAACCGCCCACCCTGAAAAATTTCGCAAAACCACTTTAAAAATTATTAATTTAACTAGTGATCGTTATTTTATTAAAAAACCATTCACTATTCATACATGATCTAACAAAATAACAGAAACAGACCAAGTACGATATTTTCCCAATTAAAACAATAAGAAGGCTGTTGTTGTAAACAGTGTTTTTCATCATTTGGTTATAAGTTTGGGAATTAATAAACGTTTTCACGCGAAAACAATGCCGTTAATTCTTACAGGCGTCTCTCAAATTGTCGTTCTGTTTCTGTTATTTTGTTATTATTATATTATTAAATTTAAGGGAGCAGTAAAGTATAAGAAAAGAAGAGAGGGAGAGAGAATGACTACTTTTATGTTTTCATGACCCCTGAAGTACAAAAAAACATCTCGCATTTCTGTCTGGCGTCTAGCGTATGCAGATAATCTCCGAAACTACTGGACCGATTGCCAAATTTTATAATTTTATATGTATGATATGAATATTGCACCAGTGGTAAAATGCTAAGCAACAATTTGCAGACGTCTCCTCGATTTTTTTTTACTAAACGCCATTTAAATTTTATAAAATAACATACTCTTGTACATGTGGTTTATGAAACCGCTTACATTATTTTACCCTAAGCACCAAAGTTATCGCAAAGAATCCAAAATGTATAATATGATTATTCTGTGACGTTGGGGGCAACGGTAGGGACCGATCTCAGTATTGGAATGCAAAAATAGTCACGCGAGAACAACTGTGGCGCGTACCAATTCGATCTCATGGGTTTTTTCTCACACTGTTACTGCTAGTAGTGTTGTTAAAATACAATACTTTACTATTTTTTGTACAGAATCGTTTTATAAATACATGTATTTTACCCTTTCCGGTACTGTATTTACCATAACCTAAGTTTAATGGCCAACTCTGTCGGTATTATTTTGTTAATTTTTCATCTGTCAATTATATATAGACTTATAATGCCATTGGAAGAGCATTATAAAGAGATTAGCGGGAGTTATGATTTTATAACGATAATTTTAATTTTCTTTTGCTTTTGTAACTTTTTCAACAATTTTAGAATCTCCATCGTCACAAATGACGCTTAAAATAAATTTACATCACTATTATCCACGGAGGTAGAAAAGACCGGAGGGAAGATGTCGTGAATTTTGTGACACAGGCTCAAGCACCGTTTATGACCCTACTTGAAATGCGCGCTGTGCTAAGCTCACCCTCTAAATGTTTAGCAGTCATAACCAGTGGCGGGGCAACATATTTTATGTTGACAACCTTATATATAAGTCTCTAAATGTTATTATGATCTTTAATTATAATCAAAATCTATTCAAATTAAAAACACCAACAACACGTCCAAAACTAAAACAGCACAACTAAACTCGAAACACAAGAACGAACAATTGCATATAAACAGCACGTGTTACGTGATAGTACGCCACTGGAAATCCAAACTCTGTCAGCTGTTGAGTGTAGGAGCGCGTTTGCGTCGGGCTGGCAAATATTGGCGCCTTGTTCAAATAAGATCATAACCGGTGTCTGACCGGGTCTTGAACGATGCCAGAATCGTTACATTGCTAGCATACGGTACGCTCCCTCCGGTCTCTTCTACCTCCGTGCTATTATCACATTCTTTAAGAAATCTCCCTTTGATTCGAGAATCCAATAGTTGATAGCCTTATGTATGCTAGTTAAAGCTTTGTATCTTCTCTTTTGCATTCGGTTGAAAATCTTCGTGCCTGGAACAGGTACATGTGAAAACCTACACATAACCATACTAGTACATTTTAAAATACCGTACGGAACAAAAAGTTTTATACGAACCGTTCAAAATGGTATTTTATTGATCATTTAAAAATCGTTTAATACGGTTTAATCACTGGCGATTACCTATATTTTTATATATAGAGGTTATCACAAAGAAAATGTCGCAAAACCAAATTTTATCATTTTCTAAAGAAGCGGGATTTGTTGGACTGTACTTCAGGGGCGAGAGCTGAAATAAGCTTCCAACCATTTTTTTTATCACAATTAAAATTTGAATTCATGTTTAAAAAATTTGTAAACTGTATTTGTTCGTACTCTTTTGTAATATCTGTCTGCAATTATTATATTTTTGACTATACATTTATTATTAATATTGTTGTCAATGTTACAATGTAAAATTGACTTTTATTTAAACTTTCCTTTAAACAGATTTATCTCACTTCTTTTTCTTTATGCTTTAGAACTTTAATAATCCCAGATATTGTTTCAACGTTTTCTGAAGTCATTGTTTATTTTAGCCTTTGCCACTGCTTGTATTTAAAACGCAGAATAGTTCTAATTAAAATTTAGCCACCTCATCAGTTCTCCTTTAAAATCTGGTTTGTTTCTCCGCTAAATTTGGACGATAACAACCACAAATATTTACAACAAACACACTCCATATTTTAACAATAGAAGATTTAAAGTTAATCTGATTACCTAAGTAATTACGAGGGTGGGGTGACAAGTACCGGGCCTCACATAGATGTGGGAGTAATAAGATCAGTATAATGATGGCATTCCATAATTTCATCTTCCATCAGCTTCCCTTAAAAATTTCATGTCAATATATCGTTTAGTATTGGAATGGCAGTCCTTCAGATTAGATGCATCAAACAATTCTAACAAAATGGAAAAAGTGGAAATTCGGCCAATGATTAAATATTTTTTTTTGAAAGGCTTAAAAGCAAGTGAGATCAAAAAAGAGTTGGATACAACATTGGGAGACTCCTCTCCATGGTATATAACAATTAAGTGATGGGTTGCTAAATTTAAAATGGGCCGAATCAGCACAAATAATGAACCACGCAGTGGGCGCCCTGTTGAGGTGACCCCTCCAAAAATTATAGAAAAAAATCATAAAATCATGTTGGCTGACCGGAGAGTGAAAGTGAGGGAGGTAGCAGAATCAATAAGGATCACAACAGCGTGTATTCGAAATATTTTAGATGAACACTTAACAATGAATAAGCTTTGCGCCAGGTGGGTGCCGCATTTGCTAGCTCCAAACCAAAAACAGCGTCGTAAGGATGTCTCGGCTGATTTTTGGGCACACTACAAGGGTAATCCAACTGAGTTTTTGCGTCGATTCATTACTGTCGATGAAACATGGGTCTATCATTACACCCCCGAGACAAAACAGCAGTTGAGACAGTGGACCAAAAAAAAAGAACCTGCTCCGAAGAAAGCGAAGACAGTTGCATCGGCCAGTAAGGTTATGGCCACCATATTTAGGATGCGAGGGGAATAATTTTTATTTACTACCTTCAGAAGGGAAAAACAGTTAGTGGGGAATATTATGCGACTCTATTACAACGTTTACAACAGGAAATTAACGCAAAACGGCCACATTTAGCGAAAAAAAGGTGCTGTTTCATCAGGTAACTTCCAGTTTATAGTTTTTTTAAAACTGTTCTAAATACACACTTATTTTATCTTCAAGGTTACGTCAAACCCCATAAATAATCACAAATTTATGAAATTCATTGTTTTGTTGAATTATAGCTTCTAGGTTATTATCCTCACGAGATTATTTTAACGGTTAACTTCATTGCTCCAAACCAGTTTATTCTAAGCTTCAAAGCCGCGAAGACCTTAATCATGGGTCTCTTCATCGAAGACACTTGGATGGAAATTTTCCTCCTCATAACCACGTCCATCGTAATCGTGATAAATTATTTCCACAAGACCTATAACTACTGGACAAGAAAAGGCGTCCCTACTATCAGACCCAAATTCCCGTTAGGTAACACCAATATTCTGCTTCCTCGCAGTTTTTCCGTCGGTACTCTCAGCAAGAGATTTTATGATGAATTCAAGCGACAAGGGCACAGGTTCGGGGGTGTTTATTTGGTGACCGCTCCGAATTTAGTGATTGTGGATCCAGAATTGATTAAAGACATTATGGGTAAAGATTTCCAACATTTTGTGGATCGCGGGTTTTACTACAATAAAGAAGACGATCCGCTGAGTGCTCATCTGTTTGCTATTGATGGATTGGACTGGAAAAATCTTAGGGTTAAACTCACCCCCACTTTCACTTCAGGAAAAATGAAAAAAATGTTCCATTCGATGATCGAGTGTGTTAATAACATGAAGGAGGCTATCGACAAGAGTTTGGGTGAAGATATAGATATTAAAGAGATGCTGGGAAGGTTTACCACCGATGTGATCGGTTGCTGTGCTTTTGGCATCGAATGTAACAGCTTCAAGTATCCGGATGCAGAATTTAGAGCAATGGGGCACAAAATTTTTCAGCCCGGCTTACTTAAATCGATAAGAGCGTTTCTTGCTATGAACCTGCCAAAACTGGCGTTACGACTAGGTGTCAAAACACTTAACGAAGATATAGCTAAGTTCTTTAAGGATATTGTGGCAGACACTGTTAAGTTGCGCCAGGAAAAAAATATCAGACGTAACGACTTTTTACAAATTTTAATAGACTTGCAAGATTCGGCTAATTTTACTATTGGTGAAATGGCGGCTCAGGTATTTTTGTTCTTCATTGCTGGATTCGAAACGAGCTCCACGGCAATGACTTTTGGTTTGTACGAATTAGCACGAAATCCTGACGTACAGAAGAAGTTAAGAGAAGAAATCTGCCAAGTTTTAGAAAAGTACGACAATAAAATAACTTATGAAAGTTTGAACGAGATGAAATATCTAGAACAAGTTTTCGACGGTGAGTATTTTCTTTCACTTTTGCAATCAAAAACATTATTTTTTTTTTAGAAACTTTGAGGATGTATCCACCTCTCCCAAATCTAAATCGTCGTTGCACTAAAAACTATACCCTTCCAGATACAAATGTGGTCGTTGAGGAAGGTACTTCTCTTCTTATATCCGCCTTGGGTTTGCACATGGACCCAGAATATTACCCAGAACCGGAAAAATTTGATCCAGAAAGGTTCAGTGAAGAAAATAAAAAGGCGAGGCATCCATTTGTGCATTTACCGTTCGGCGATGGCCCCAGAAATTGTATAGGTAGGTTTAATTTTTGAAAAAAGCATAGATAATGTAAATCTTATTTTGAATTTCTAGGTTTACGATTTGGATTAATGCAGTCGAAAATTGGTATAATTACCGTCATTAAAAATTTCCACCTATCAGTCAGTCCATTGACTAAACCTGTGGAGTTTAACCCTCGTACATTTTTGCTAAGTTCTAAGAATAATGTCTATCTGAAAGCAGAAAATGAGTAATTTGAGTATTTTAAATAGGAAAGTATGTTTTCCTGTTTACAGTGAATTGTGAAATAATTATGAATTGTTTCACACGTTGTTCAAAAGTGCTGAATAAGTGTTTATCATTTTGTGATGTTCTGTTAACACATTGCGCAAATTGTTTAGATGCATTCGTATTTGATTAAATAAATTATAACCTACCACGATTTAAGGAGTCTAAAGTCGAATTTTCGAGGATTTTTGATTTATTTAATTTTATAACAAAAATAAATTAATGATAATAATTACTACATCTTACTGATAATTATTACATATTATGTGGCTGGCTAAACAGAATTATCTAGTCCTTTTGTTTATTGCAAACATACGAATAAAAATAAAACTCAACGCTGAAGCTACAAAAAAAGTTAAATTAAAGTAAAAAATATATAAAGGCATTTGTCTTAAGCTATTTAGTCAACAAACGAACAAATTTAGTTTCTTAGATGGATTAATAAATGCGATCCTACCGAGGAGGGTAGAATAATAATATTCCACCCTCCTCGGATCCTACCAATTTAAGATTTTTTTTCCCGTTCTGCCACTTCTTGTTTAACTTGCTCCTTACATCTTATGAGCATTTGTCTTAGCCACCTCACCTGTCTTTCTTCTGTCACTTTTTCTATCGGCTTTATCTGCAACCCTTCAACTATTATTGTGTTTCTTATTCAATCTCATTGTTAAATTGTTATCATATTAGGGCATTGTTCCTTTATTAACATATTTCTAGGTTTCAACGAACAACAGTAAGAGTTCTTAATTATAATGAATATCGTGATGAGATGAGTGTAAGCCGTACTTTAAATCCTTAAACATTTTGACATTATCTTATTTATTTATTTATTGTTGTCTTAAATATGTAATATATTCGCTTTTTGCCCTTTTCGTCCTTTTTCTTTCCTACACTATTTTTTTTTTTCGTAAGGAGAACACAAGGTCCACTAACCTATCTATCAATTTAAAAATTTAGGTTTACCAATTGTAGGAACGCCACGAAATATTTCAGTCTAGTATTTTTCAATAAACTGCATGAAGGTTATCGCAACTCTCCACCCAATCAAATCAATTTCTAAAGAAAATTAAATCATTTTTATTTAGAAATGGCTTCAACGAATAGTTACTTTTGTGTATAATATGGGTAGTTATACTCCATATTGCCGTTTTGAAGCCAAAAAAATTTTAATTGGCACAGTAAAGGTTACTTACTTTCTAATACTAGTCACAAGTGTAAGAAAAAAATTGGTCTAAAAATCTAGATAATACCAGCCACAGTATAAAAAGAATGGCCTTATGATGATCAAACGGGCGTCCTTCGCATGTTTTACAGTAATCGGGCCACTAGTTTCGAAGATTATCTGTGTAATAAAAATGGACCAGACGACAGACAGACAGACGGAAACGGAAGATTTATTGTTTATACTTCTTGGATCATGCAACGTCGAGAAAACATGGATAGACCCTATTATAATGCTTCCTTGGCGTACGGTCGGAATGAATAGGAGCATATTATTTTATAAAATTTTAATAGAATTTATGTTTCAAAATGTCGACGCCGATGCATTTTCAAATTTATACTATCTATTTTTCTTTCAAAGTGTCAACAGCAAATTTTCACGGGAAAATGCAGTAGGTACTTCTGTTCTAATTCATAAATTTACATGACATTTCCAGTCACATCTACACACTAGGACTACATACATTCCCAATATACACAATTCACATAACATAGGTAAGCATATTATGCATATTTTGTCTCATTGGATGTGCATTAAGTTTAATTATTTTTTCTACTCACTATATAGAAAATGTGATTTTCTTCCCTCATTTAAGGGCACAAAGTTAATTTATCATTTTAATTAGCGTCGGTACTCATTTTGATCTAGTCCAGTGGTTCGCAAACTTTTATTATTGATGGCACCCTAAAATATTAAACAAAATTTGGCTTCACCCCGCCAAGAACACTTTTAATTGTAACTAATTTATCATCAAAAACACTGTATAACATGATTAATGGGAAATATGTGCTTGATGAGATGCACAAATCTTGTCGATGTCGGGATGAATTTCAGATAAACACACTCGCATCTCATCGTCGATCGACTTTAGTCTTTCTCGTTTTTTATTTTTTATATTAACTAACGCTGAAAAGCCTAATTCGCATAAGTAGGAGGTGGAAAATTGCAATAAAATTCTCAGTGCCCTTGTATTTATTTGGGAGTACTCTTTCGCAGTACTAATCCAGAACAGATCTAGGGGAATTTCTGCATGTTTTAATTTCAGTGTTCGATCATTCCTTAGGTCGGCTAACTCATCTTCTTCGGTAGGGCTTAACTGGGCATTTTCAGTTACATAAGGAGAATACGGATTTCTTATCCAGTCGTAGCTTGCAACGTCAGACAAATAACAGACGACAAACGGACAGACGGAAACGGAAGATTTATTGTTTATACTTAGCAAAATATAGATCAATTTTAGTTTTCAAATGTTCCAGATGTGTCAAGATCAGTTTCTGTACAGCAGCAGGTAAAACATTATCTTCTGCAAACTTTGTCAGTCTAGGAAACATGTAAATATTATTTTTATTAATATTTGTTTTCCATAATTTAACCTTAAGTCTTTTAACGCCAAAATTTTGTCACTGGAGGTTAGAATATTTTCATTTCTACCTTGCATACTTGAATTTATTTTGTTTAAGTGTTCAAATATATCAGTTAAATATGCTAGTTTTGCACACCAAACGTGGTCTTGAAGGAGGTCAAAAAATTGTTCAATATTTTCTGATTCAAAAAACCTTTGTATCTCTTTACTTAATTCCCAAAATCGGGAAAGAACACGAGCTTTAGACAACCATTTTACTTCAGTATGAAGAAGAAGGTTAACATGTTCAGAACCCATTTCTTCACTTAGTGCTGCAAACAATCTTGATTTCAAAGGTTTACTTTTGATGTAATTTACCAACGCAACAGTTCTGTTCAATGGGTTGATATTATATTTGGATTTTGTTTTTTCGCACGGGGGATATGGTGTATCATCAGTGCAGATACCAACGCATGATACCCATGGTAAATTAATGGACTGCAAATATTCATTCAATGCTTTAAATATGTCACTTTCAGTAGTGTGTCTGCTAATCGTGTCATCCGATAAAGGAACGTTTTTGATTTCTTCTTCAGCCTCTGTTCCAAACATTGTTCTTACAATTGCCGCACAAGCTGGTCGAATTAACGTTTCCGCAATCGTATGAGGTTTCATGTCTTTCGCTATAATTTCCGAAACCAACTAAGTTGCTTTTTGGGCCCCATCGGAAATTTTGAATTTTTTAACAAATATCGTTCGTTGTTTCTGCAACGAGTCCAGCAGCCTTTTAATGAAAAAATATTCTTTTTAAGCGTACATAATAAATATTACATAATTTGCGACACATCAAACAGCGAAGCGATGACGTATTTGCAGGAAAAAAGAAAAGATTTTTCAGTCTTGAATAACTATGCTACAGTAAAATGTTTATTTTTTTAAATTTAATACCACAATCCCTTCTTCTGCACCTGTGGAACGGGTGTTTAGTAGCGGAAACCAAATTCTGACACCAAGAAGAAATAATTTAGGTGACAATTGAAGAGGGCTTAAAAGTTCCAGACTTGATTTTAAAATAAGCTAGAAACGTCGTCTCAGTATGTCTATTTTTAATTTTGTTATTGTCTCACCATTTTGAGAATTTCTTCAACTCCTCTTCATACCGAGTGCGAGATTTCGCAGGAAGCAACACCGACAATGCTTCACAACGTATTTTTCTGCATAATCATTCATTTTACCGCGAATTCACTTTATCGGCACCAGTTTCAAAGTTTTCATACAATTTTTTCGGAATTGTTATTGATTGCTATGGTAACGGAGAAGGTAGTGGCAACATATTTTCGTTACAACACAATTTCACTAGTTTTTTTATTAATGAAAATAGTAATGGTATTTAATATTTTTTTAATAAAACGCAGCACAAAAAATGTTGTATATATCACACGCCGAAATGGCTATGCATCCCTCGCGCTACAAATACGCTCGGATGCAAAGTCTCATTTTCGGCGCTTGATATATAAATAACTATTACGTCAGTGTCACTGGAGCAATAAGATTCATTTACCCTATCGGTAGCAGAAAAAATCTGTTTTGTTTCTCCGCTAAATTTGGACGATAACAACTACAAATATTTACGACAAACACACTCCATATTTTAACAATAGAAGATTTAAAGTTATTCTGATTACTTAAGTAATTAAATACCTCCTGTAACAACTGTGTTTCTCTACAAACCAAAAACGAATTTTAATACCGTCTTGATTTTAAAGAATTAGGTAAAACTTCCTGTTTATATATATTTTTTTATAACTGCTCCAAATACATGCTTATTTTATCTGAAGGTTACGTCAAACCCAATAAATAATCACAAATTTATGAAAATCATTGTTTTCTTGAAACACGGCTTCTAGGTTATTATCCTCACGAGATTACTTTAACGGTGAACTTCATTGCTCCAAACCAGTCTATTCTTAGCATCTAAGCCGCGAAGACCTTAATCATGGGTCTCTTCATCCAAGACACTTGGATGGAAATTTTCCTCCTCATAACCACGTTCATCGTATTCGTGGTAAATTATTTCCACAAGACCTATAACTACTGGACAAGAAAAGGCGTCCCTACCATCAGACCCAAATTCCCGTTAGGTAACACCAACATTCTGTTTCCTCGAAGTTTTTCCGTCGGTACACTCAGCAAGAGATTTTATGATGAGTTCAAACGACAAGGTCACAGGTTCGGGGGTGTTTATTTGGTGACTGCTCCGAATTTAGTGATTGTGGATCCAGAATTGATTAAAGACATTATGGGTAAAGATTTCCAACATTTTGTCGACCGCGGGTTTTACTACAATAAAAAGGGCGATCCGCTGAGTGCTCATCTGTTTGCTATTGATGGAATGGACTGGAAAAATCTTAGGGTTAAACTCACCCCCACTTTCACTTCAGGAAAAATGAAAATGATGTTCCATTCGGTGATCGAGTGTGTTAATAACATGAAGGAGGCTATCGACAAGAGTGTGGGTGAAGATATAGATATTAAAGAGATGCTGGGGAGATTCACTACCGATGTGATCGGTTGCTGTGCTTTTGGTATCGAATGTAACAGCTTCAAGTATCCGGATGCAGAATTTAGAGCAATGGGGCACAAAATTTTTCAGCCCGGCTTTCTTAAATCAATAAAAGCGTTTTTTGCTATGAACCTGCCAAACCTGGCGTTACAACTAGGTGTCAAAACAACTAGCGAAGATATAGCTAAGTTCTTTAAAAATATTGTGGCAGGCACTGTTAAGTTGCGCAAGGAAAAAAATATCCGACGTAACGACTTTTTACAAATTTTAATGGACTTGGAAGATTCGGCTAATTTTACTATTGGTGAAATGGCGGCTCAGGTATTTTTGTTCTTCATTGCTGGATTCGAAACGAGCTCCACGGCAATGACTTTTGGTTTGTACGAGTTAGCACGAAATCCTGACGTACAGAAGAAGTTAAGAGAAGAAATCTGCCAAGTTTTAGAAAAATACGACAATAAAATAATTTATGAAAGTTTGAACGAGATGAAATATCTAGAACAAGTTTTGGACGGTGAGTACTTTCTTTCACTTTTGCAATCAAAAACATTATTTTTTGTTTTAGAAACTTTGAGGATGTATCCACCTCTCCCAAATCTAAATCGTCGTTGCACTAAAAATTATACCCTTCGAGATACAAATGTGGTGGTTGAGGAAGGTACTTCTCTTCTTATATCCGCCTTGGGTTTGCACATGGACCCAGAATATTACCCAGACCCGGAAAAATTTGATCCAGAAAGGTTCAATGAAGAAAATAAAAACGCGAGGCATCCATTTGTGCATTTACCGTTCGGCGATGGCCCCAGAAATTGTATAGGTAGGTTTAATTCTTGAAAAAAGCATAGATAATGTAAATATTTTGAATTTCCAGGTTTACGATTTGGATTAATGCAGTCGAAAATTGGTATAATTACGGTCATTAAAAACTTCCACCTATCAGTCAGTCCATTAACGAAACCTGTGGAGTTTAACCCTCGTACGTTTTTGTTAAGTTCTAAGAATAATGTCTATCTGAAAGCAGAAAAAGTGTAGTTTGAGTATTTTAAATAGGAAAGTATGTTTTCCTGTTTATATTGAATTGTGAAATAATTATGAATTGTTTCACATGTTCAAAACTGCTGAATAAGTGTTTGTCATTTTGTGATGTTCTGTTTACACATTACGCAAATTGTTTAGATGCATTCGTATTTGATTAAATAGATTATAACCTACCACGATTTAAGGAGTCTAAAGTCGAATTTTGGAATGATTTTTATTTATTTAAATTTATAACAAAAATAAATTAATGATAATAGTTACTACATCTTAGTGATAATTGTTACATATTTGTACGAGTATATTATCTGGCTGGCTAAACAAAATTACCTATTGTTTTCGTTTATTACAAACATATCAATAAAAATAAAACTTAACGCTGAAGCTACAAAAAAAATTACTTGACCATCACATCGATTTTTGTTTTTAGTGCTTAAAAGTTAAATTAAATTAAAAAGTGTATAAAAGCATTTGTCTTAGGCTATTTAGTCAAGAAACGAACAAATTTAGTTTCTCAGCTGGATTAATAAATGCGATTCTATTTATTTCTTTTTTTTTTTAATTTAGAATGTATTCTTCGCTCAACATATAATTACTCTTTTCCAATTCTCTCGATCTTGTGCCAGTGTTTTTGTTTCGTTCCATTTTATTTTCCGTTGTTCTGCCACTTCTTGTTTAACTTGCTTTTCACATCTTATGAACATATGTCCTAGCCACCTCACCTGTCTTTCTTCTATGACTTTTTCTATCGGCTTTATCTGCAACCCTTCAACTATTATTGTGTTTCTTATTCAATCTCATTTCTATCTGTTTTTATTCTTGAGGCTGTTATATAATCTTCGCGCTTTTCTTATTCTCTCTGTGATTTTTTATAGATTTTCCCATTGTATTCTATTGTTGTTCCCAAATACTTATAGCTTTTGACTTATTCAATTCTTTGTCCATCTAAATTTATTTTGTAGCATTTCTTTTCGCCGTCATTATCAGCCTCTTTGTTTTGTCTATATTTATTTCCTTGTTTATTTTTTCTAGCTCTTTTTGGTATTCCAATACTACTTACTTACTAATACTAGTCACACGTGTAAGAAAAAAAAATTGGTCTAACGTTAAAAATGTAGATAGTACCAGCCACATCAAACGGGGTCCTTCGCATGTTTTACAGTAATCCGGCCACTAGTTTCTAGGATTATCTGTGTAATAAAAATGGACCAGACGACAGACAGACAACAGACGACAGACAAATAACAGACGACAAACGGACAGATGGAAACGGAAGACCTATTGTTTCATACTTCTTGGGTCGTGCAACGTCGAGAAAACATGCATAGACCCTCTTATAATACTTCCTTGGCGTACGGTGGGAATGAATATGAGCATATTATTTTATAAAATTTTAATAGAATTTATGTTTCAAAATGTTGAGGCCGGTGCATTTTCAAATTTATACTATCTATTTTTCTTCCAAAGTGTCAACAGCAAATTTTCACGGGAAAATGCAATCGGTACTTCTGTTCTAATTCTTATATTTACATGACATTTCCAGTCACATCTACACACTAGGCACTACATACATTCCCCATATATTGTTTGTATTGATGAGGCTGATACGTGTTTACACTCCATATTAATCTTAATAAAAATGAAAAAACTTTCAGAGTTTAAATAATATATTCGTAGTCACAGCTACACGTGTTTCGGTACACAGTACCGTCTTCAGGCAAAAGAGAAAGTGGGGTTTTACACAGCTATTTTTGAATTTATACCTGATTTTAACAATAATTTTGCAACAGTTGTAGTGACTGCAGCCCCGTAGCTAGAAAACTTATTCAGGGGGGGCAAGTTTGTCGACAGGGGGGGCTGGATGTAAATATGTATATATATTTTAATAATACACTCAGATAACTACTTTATTTTTTCTCAGTTTTTACATTTGAAAGAGCATTAAAATAATTGTAAACGTCGATATTTGTACAACATTAAATTTTCGTAAAAACCTGTCGAAGTCCAAAGAATTGGTACGGTACTTTTCAAAAGCCAGAAAAACCAAGCATGATTGGACGCGCCGGGCGATCTATTCTGGTTAAAACAGAGAATGTAGATTCACAAACAGCTGTACTACATCCAAAAATTGGTGCAGTGGCCAATAACACTAGGTAACAACCAATTTGTTTGAGTTTATTTTTTTGCATGTTTAGTAGTAGGCTATGAAATAAAATGTGACATGTCAGTTCGTTTTTTTATATGGTCAACATCAACGTTAAGGTGATATTGCCAAATAACATACCCTATAAGAAAATAAAGGGCGCGCGTGTGGGGCTAGCAAATATGCTTCGGCAAACGGCATTATATTGAAATTTTATTACTAATTTGAAATTTATAATGTGTAAGTCTTCCAGGGGGGGCAACCACAACTGCTAGGGGGGACTCAGCCCCATCTTGCCCCCCCCCCCCGTAGCTACGGGGCTGAGTGACTGCCCATTAGTATACATCGGACAAACAGGGAGAAAATTTGAGGAAAGGATCAAAGAACATAAATCAGCATATGTCAATAAAAAATCAAATTCTATGTACGCGAACCACCTTATCCAAGAACATCATAATTTCAACGACGAATTCAAAATTTTACACATAGAAAATAAAGGTGCAAAACTAAACGCGTTAGAATGTCTAGAAATAAATAGGTATAGATTTAATGCACTAATGAACGACCAAACTGAAATAAACAAATCTCCCTTACTTAACATAAATTTGTAAACACTATTGTTAAAATCAGGTATAAATTCAAAAATAGCTCTGTAAAACCCCAGTTTCTCTTCTGCCTGAAGACAGTACTGTGTACCGATTCACGTGTAGCAGTGACTACAAATATATTATTTAAACTCTGAAAGTGTTTTCATTATTATTAAGATTCCCCATATACACAATTCACATAACATACGTAAGCATATTATGCATATTTTGTCTCATTGGATGTGCATTAAGTTTAATCATTTTAATTAGCGTCGGTAGTCATTTTGATCTAGTTATTGGATTCCACAATGAACAAACATCTATGTTTACGTGTAAATTTGGTTGCATATGTACTCAGAGAAGACGAAATATTTACAAATAATAATAATTAATACAGAGTGCCTTTGAAAGTTACATATTATGTCTCAGTGGATGCCCATTAAGTTTAATTATTTTAATTTATCATTTTAATTTGCGTCCTTAGTCATTTTGATCTATTCATTGGATTCCACAATGAATAAACATTCATGTTTAGGTGTAAATTTGGTTGCATATATACTCGGACAAGACGGAATCACAGCACAGTATAGATAACAATTGATATCTATGCTGTGATCACAGTATAGAGATCAATTGATATCTATACTGTGACGGAATATTGAATATTCACAAATAATAATTAGGCGTAATACATATGTAGTGCATCCATCGCAGAAAGCCATATAAAGCTTTTTTCATCATAAAAAAAAATACTCCCGTCCACACTTTTCTTGTGCCAATGACAAATACTGTTACTGGTCGACAGTGATACGTAAAAACTAAAATTTACTTCGTGCTGTCAAGTCTTGTAGAAAAGAGATTACCAAGAAGACCGAAGTCATTAACTGAGACTATGAATATATCTGACTATTGTACAATGTGCATTATCATGTGCCACTTTGCATTTTGAAGAATGAGGAATAATTGTCCAACAGTTTTTAAAATGTAGGTATTTAAGGCCCCACACTAAGTGGAATAGTTTCTCAGGGGAATCTGCGTGTGGGATACGTTTGAAAAACTCTTTATTTAGAAAAATCCAGTGAAAGCTGAGAAAATATGCAACAAAGAAATATAGAAGTTGATCCTTGTACCATTTTGTTAGTTGATAAACCAACGAAATCCTTATTGGCTTAATTCCATTTTCTAGAAGTTGAAAATTTATAAATAGCTCGACTTTTTCAAGATTTTTTTTTCAAGAAACAAATTGTGTTGACCAAATTTGAATTAAAATTTCGCGGTAAAAAAACAATAGCGCCAAATCGCATTTGAATAATTTGAACTTCTCGGAGAATGTGTGGGGTGTAGTATCTAGTGAGAAGGCTGGTAGTGAAGTTCACTTGTTTCTTCTGCTTCTTTTTGTTCCTTTTTTTGTCAGTGGAGGAATAAACATTTTGTGTCCTCCATATATTTTGTGTTTTATTTAGCGGTACTTTTCCAACCTTGGGGTGCACACTTTGCATCTGAACGCATTCCGCCATTAAAAAAGACACACATCGTAGGATCCATGTTGCTTTTTTAGACGATCACAGCCAAAACCAAATTTTTGAATTTTTGAATTTTTTTTTTTTTCAAATGTCATTTTAAGGCCGGATGTTTGGGTTATTACAAAATATCAAAACTCGGAAACTAAAATTGACATTGCCTATAACTATAAGTGTTCGAAATAACGTCCCTTCCTTCTAATACAACTTTCTCAGCTGCTTAACTGTGTCCAAGGTGGCTGATATATCAACAACTTTATGTACTCCCACAAAAAGAAATCACAAAAATTGAGATCGGGAGACTGAAGAAGCCATAAGATTCTGGCTCTTTCCTGGCCAGCCACCGTCCTGGGCACAATGAGCAGAAGCCCCATTGTGGAGATACCACACATCACCTAGAACATCGTACATTGGTACGTCGCAAATGTTGCTTATCAACCAACGAATTGCCTTAAAACAGTAGCACACACCACTTTTATTAAAATGATTGTGAATTTATGTGAAATGTTTTGTCATATCCAGTTTTTTGTTTCTTTCTTTACATATATTTTTCAAAGACACCTGTATTTTTATATCTTAAATTAAATCGTATTTTTGTTACTCAAAATTTGTGTTTTTTGTATACGAGGTAAGTGATTATTTAGAACTGCCTCTTTATCTTGAAATATGTTTCGATTTATTATTGTAAGCGACATTAATCATTTTGATCTATTCCTTAAATATACATAGTTAGATCACAGATTTAGATTCTGCAATAAACCATCATTTATGTTCGGGTGTAAATATGGTTGCATATATACTCCGAACAGGCAATATCAAATTTGTACACTATGCACTATATGTATTATATTTAAATTTAGTAAATCATAAATGTCATTGTTTAATGACCATTTAAAGTGTAATTTTACCGCAGAAATTACCTATGTGATCTATCTTTTATTTCACCTGTAATAAATTATCTAAAACCAAATCCTTCTGTAAAACACTAATTTTAGATGCAACTCATTTAATTTATGTTTACCATCAGATATTAAGTTAGCTACACTGTTAAACATTTGACGTGAAACGAGTATCATACAAGGGCATATAATTAAACTATATTGTTTCTTCTTCATAACTTTAAGACTTGTAGTTCGTAGCTAATCCTTTTTCTTTATTTTTGTAATAGTTCTTATCGAAATCACTGAACTTAAAATTTGACAAAGTATGTAAAATAATTTAATTTTCGCATTACTTTTTATGGAGAAGTTGTAAATTTTAAACAAACGGTTAATTATTGCGTGAAATAATGTTTT